GTTTTCAAAAAAAAAAAAAAAAAGGCGAAACGCAACGGCAGCAGGGAATTTGTAATTGTATTCATAGAGTTCATAGTGTGATAGATAGCCTCTCTTGAGCAATAGAAGAAGAGCAGGGAATAACTAACACGACCAGCTCGCAGGGGCATGGCGGTCGCGGTGGGAATGGCTTTTTCTTTTTCTTCTTCCCAGCGACTCTGTTTTGCCCCGCTGCGAAAAAAGCATCGCCAGTCTGGGCGAAAGCGGGGTGAGCCTGCAAAAGCAAGTATCAGCAAACTGGTGGAAAATACGCAAGAAAGAAGCAAAGAAGCGGGAAAAAAGAAAAGAAAAAAAAAAACCAGTGCGCCATTACTATGTGCAGGGCTGCAGGTACATGAACTTCTAACTGCAGTATTAGCATAGGCCCCCAACGGTAGATCATCAAGTGCACTTGTCTGTCCCAAGAGAGAACGCTGTATGAAGGACAAAGATTTTCCCCGAACATCATCTACTGTATATTATATGCGCCATGGTAGTATTCCCAATAACAGTCCTTCCTCATTGTAGTCGTCCGGATTTACAGTCAAACGCTCACAATCCTCTAGTCGTGCTAAAATAAGTTGTGAAAAAAGAAGACAGATGATTCTTTGCTTTTCCAGCTGAACAAGTTGCAATTCCAAATCCTTTAAAAAAAGTGAATTATTTCCATAAAAAAGCAGCGCGCGGATATATTTTTGGTGTGGTGTATGGTATATGCGGGTGGGATATCTTTTTGATCATGTAACGGCTTCTTAGATGCGGTTTGTCGAATGGGCACGGCCAATCATGTGCTCCTCATCGTCCTCGACCCGAACACTGTACGTCACTGATTTCATGATGGCGTTGTTCTTTTGTAAAATATTCTCCTCGCTGCTCGAGGTGTGCGTTTGCGAGCCGGCAAAGGCGCTCCGGTCTTGGGATACGTCGCTGAGCTTGTAGGCTTCGTTGCCCTTGATGCCACCAGCGGCCGCGCGGTTTTTGCTGTTGCCGTTGGAGCCGTAGGCGTACTTGGAGTGCTTGGAGCGGTAGTCCCTAGCCTTTCGCAGACAGACGGGCGCGAGGAAGGGCAGCGAGGACACCATGTTGCCGACGTTGAATTCAATGACGCCCCAGACGACGAGCATGGTCGAGTCGTGGTCGCCATATTGGATGCGGTTGATTTGCGTGTAGCGTAGGATGGAGCAGAGCGTCGTGAAGAGGCCGAGCGCGAAGATGGCCATGAGACCCAGCTTCTTCTCGAGGCGGATGTTGAGCTTGAGGAGCACTGGAATGGGGAGAACGGCGACGAGTATGTCCGAGATGATGGTGAGCACTGCGTAAGCGGTGAATGAGGCAACGGCAGGCAGACAGGTGCCTTTCTTCGAAGGATTCCACGACTTGTCGATCTGAGGGGTGCACAAAGGTTAGTCAAAGCTGCGTGTAACGGGATACAGATCTGAGGTAACTCAAGGGTTGGCCAGTCGTACCGGATTGCAATTAAAGATCAGGGCGAGGGCGCTACCCAGGTGGTTGAGAAAGACGAAGGCAATGGCGCCCCAGACGACCATGCGATACCTGCGGTTGTCGGTGCCCTGCAAGAGGCGCAAGTAGCTGATGAGTAGGGCAATCTTGAAGAAGCTGATGCCGACCTGGTAGATGGGACGGCCGGCGTAGTTAACCCGCGTGTAAGGGATCAGGTTCTCCTTGGGGCGGATGGCGGGCAAAAGACCGAGGCCGTACTTGGTCTGGACGATGCAGAGGACCGAGTAGGCAATGGCGAAGATGAGGGAGAGGATGGACATCCAGTCGTCAGCGGCGATGCGGTTGTTCTTCTTGCGAATGAAGAGGCGTGCGCCGACAATGATGGAGGCCAGTCCCGACATGACGACGCACACGGCGATTATCATTTTGTACTGGGACTTCTCATCCAGCTCCGGGGAGCCGTGGGCGACGAAGACCATGGTGACGGGTGCACGCCGAGGGCGAGTGTTGTTGAAGGAAGGCGGGGTGAAGCACTGGTTTCCCGACCAATTCTTGAAAGTCTTTGTCTGGTCTGCCTAGGTCTGCCTTGGTTGGATTTGCGAAGTGTCTGTCCCGTTCTGTCTGGTGGGCTGTTTGAAGGGAGGAGCGGCTTGGAGGGCTGCAAGCCAAGCCAAGCCTTGTGGGCTGGAAAGTGCCGAACTGCAGCAAGATTACGATGGAGGGAGTAAGAAAAGGAAGAAAAGGGAAAAGAGAAACGCTGCAGGCGTGAAAAGCCGTAGACTCGTCAGACGTCGGGTGAATTGTATTTAAGGAGAAGTGTATCGAGAAGACTGAGGAAAAAGTGAAGGGAGTGTAGACTGGTGGGTAAGACTGAGGGTGGGATAGATTTCGACGACGCAGGCGTGAGCGACAATTAAAGCAAACCTGAGCCGCTCCCGAGGAGAAGCCTACTGATAGGCTTCCTCAAAAACTAAAGAGCTTAGCTCGAGGAGAGGAACGGACGAGTGAGGAAAAGGAAAAGCACAGGAACGGCTTCATTGCCGGTGCGGTGCGACCAACTATACGTTTCCAGTCAACAGTCCACTGGGCGTGGAGAAGGCCAGAAGGTGTCTGTCTACGGAGTACCTTGTATGGAGTATACCAGTACTAGCTGAAGGTGTCTCCGGGTCTCTCCCTTGGACCGACTGGTCTGTTTATTAGCGCAGAAACGGAGCGAAAAAGAAAAATCGAAAGGAATAAATGAATAAAAACGTATGGCGTCTGGCAGGGATTGGGATGTGGGTGGGCAACTGGCCAGCCATCCATCCATCCATCCATCCATCCATCCATCCCATCGCCTCCCCTGCAGGGAAGGAACTGGTAGGGGTTCGCGACGAGGCCACTTGGCAGTTCAGTGGTTGCTACAGTACTCCGTACAGGAGGTTATTCTGGGGGCCCGGGCATATTCGTAGGGTTGCATTGGGCAGAATGCGATCAAGGTGAGGTGACGGAGAGGAGGGAGTGCTTCGAATCTACTCCGTAGCTAGGCAGGCATCGGGGTAAGCCAAGCTTGCAATCGCGGTGCAGGGAGACGGAGAAACATCTGGCCATCGCTAACAGACAGACATGCATGACGCTTGTAGCCTTGCAACGGTACAGGTGAGGCAGAGGAAAAAAGGAAAGAAAGATACAAAAAGAAAGCAAAAGACACGAGAAGACGGTTGGGTCGGCACGTTTGTCGCCTGCTGTCTTGCAACATCACCGTGCGTGAGAGGAGGGGGGGAACTGCCACACAAAAAGCCTAGGGGATGTTATGCAGCGAGATGCTGAGAAAAGGCAGGTTGAGGATTGTGGTTGGTGGATGAGCGACAAGTTGTAGACAGTTGTGCTGGTCAAGTATCTAGAGGTGAGACACGAGCTGCGCAAGTAAACGCCACACTGAGGGAGAGATGGTGGCAGGGTGCAGCTGGTCTTGGGCGCCGGATGATGAGCGAGAGACAAAATGGTCCGATTTGCTCGTTTCTTATTGGTATTCGAAACGTAATGGCCGACATCCGTTTGGGCGTCCGCCGTGTTTGAGCAGCAAGTTTATCGTTTGAGCATGACTTTTTATATTACCTAATATGGCTGGAAAGCCAATCTCTTCGGCAGCAGCTTTTGGCAGGTACGAACCCCCCGGACAGTGATAATCAATCACCATCATCACGTCCATCACCATGACTTTCATCACCCTGCCCTTCAGCATGGCCACCATCTCGCCCTCCAGTGCTGCGCATAATTGCTCGGCGTAAGCCCTGTAAGCTGGAGCGGAGACTGACTTGCATTGCGACTGCACGAACGGAACAAGAAACAGACTGGTACAGCCCACAAATCTACTACTCATCGCGCCACCGTCCCAGAGTCCTCAGAGTCCACCACTCATCGTCCGTCCATCATTTATTGCCACGCTGCCACCAAAAAGAAAAAGAGCTGCCAGGGGACACTTACCACCAGCTACCACCAAAAGACGGGGCGCAAAGAGAACAGACGTACTGGTATGTTTCTCAGCCTGCCACCTGCCTTACTGCCGCTCCATTACCTGCCTCTTTTTGTCTCGCCTTGTCTTGCCTGCCGCTCAACCAACCCTGCCGCTCAATCAACCCTGTCAGTGCTGAAGAAATCACGACCGACCGGCTGGGACATTCACTCCCTTGCTAGCGACTCCAGGACGGAAATTTCGGACTAACCTAGTTAACTAGCCTCGGGGGCCATCTCGCCTCCTCCCCTCCTCCTCCTCCTCAGATAGTACATTTTAGGTATGGCCTCGTCTGTGCTCGTTGGGTTCCGCAATCTCGTCCATCTCATCTCGTCCTTGCTGCTTGCTGCAAACCTCCCACACCCCCAAAATTAAATCTTCCGTCCAGCACCAAGATTCTGAGCCAGCACGGATACTAACTAACGCCTTGTAACCATATACTAACGGCCCTGCAGCTCTTTATTTCCCCCGTCGTCGATGGGCCGTTGACCATTGGCTTCCCTAGTCCCGCGCCGCCAAGGCGCCTCTACGCCGTCGCAAACACGAGCAACTTTATGCGAACCTCATCTTCAGTTTTACCCTCACCCTTGTCGCACCCTTTTATTAGTTGTATTTTCGTATCCAATGGCAAGACGACGGCCTGTTGCTGATTCAGGTTGTTCAGTCAACTACCAGTGCGCAGTTCAACGCATAAGAGGAGGATTGTCTTCTAGAACGCCGTGGAAGCTTTGAGCCCTTCTGCTTGGGTCTTGCGACTATGCAACATCTACCATCAAATGCTTGTGCTGGAAAACGAGTCTTCAGATCCATACCGTCCTTCAATTATTGACTCCATCACCAGGGTTACGCACTTGCACCTTGAAGCCTCTCTGATGTGGCAATTGGCCGCCTCTTTGCACTGGATTGATGTACCCATGAAACCCACAAAGCAACGATTCGACGGCACGTTTGGAACGAGCAACCTGATGGTCGCCTATCGATCCCTCTCCTCATTACACTGTTTCCCTGTCCATACTGGCAAACCCACCGTCGACGCGAATTAGGTGAACGACACCGAGGCCAAGCCATGATGTGTTTTGCGTCTTCATCATCCCTCTCGCCCCTCCAACTGGGGACGCCAGCGGGAGGATCCTTGCCCCGTTCAGCCTTTTCTGTTCCCGAATACCTAGGCAAAAGCATTATGCACTTATACCGTTGAGGGAGTTCTTTTCGAAGTGGGATAGGTTCCCAAGAGAAGATCTTTTGTTCGTATGCTGGTGGGGAGCCCCCTTTACTGCCTCCGCTCCTCCCCCTGTCTCCACGAACTGGAGCTGTAGAAAAAAGCTATTTCACCAACACACTACAACTGATGTTACCCATTAATTTTTTGCTTTTAAAGATGCCCTTCCATGGTCAATCAGCAGTTGTGGCGTCACCCTCTGATAGGGATTTGCAAAGCCAAGATTCTCCGCCCGTAGAGACCCGTGCTTATATGCATTCCAAATGACACTAGAAAACCGGACGAGAGCTTCTGGACCATTCTTTTTTCGTAAAGCCAATTGTCTGAGAGACCCTGATTTGCTACACGCCGCAGGCATGTAAATTAACCGTTGAGTGTTACGACGCGTGTCGCACTGCCACAGCCTGGTGTATCAGCATCGTGTTATGCGACTCGCGGGTCAATTAACAAGTACGGAGTATCCCGCATCCATCTATTCAAAACGGCAAGTCCCCACGCTGTAACGCACACAACTACCTGTCATTACCAGTAATACCTGCATGCTGCATGTGGCATCCTGGGTTATATTCTGCATCAAAGTATCAATGGTGGCAGCCTTGGCGAATAGGAAGGTGAACCGGCAAATTTCGTTTCCAGTGCAATCTATCCAGCCGTCAAGCCTTAACATATTCTATAACAAAGCGACCCATGCGTATAAATGACTAGATTCTGCATCAGAGTGAGCCGACGCACAGACGTTACCTCTTCTCTCAAAGCGCCCCCTTTCTCCAGTTATGAATCGGATCACGATTTCCTCCCACAACCCACCTCTGATGCTGGAGCAGTGGCACTTTGGGGGCACCTTTCTGCTCGGGCACCAAAGGCCGTCCCCTTTTCCTGTTCCTCTCGTTGGATCATCTGGGTCGCCGTGCCTAGGGCCAAACTAACAAGACTAGGGCCGGACTTGCGAGTTAGTTCCGGGACGAGAAAGTAAACCGGCCTTGTACGCCGAACAAGTCGGCCCTAGTAACTGTTACCAAGGCATCAAAAGTCCAAGTAAGGGTGGAGTGGTAAACTGGAGAAGCACGCTTACTACGGAGCAATAAGAGGACCACTCGCTCTGCAGATGATTAATGGGGGATCCATGATCCTGCATTGCGACATTAAAAAAACGCAGCCTCCCCTTCGGCCAGTAATTAGGCAAGTCCTCGCACGACATGGTCTTGCTTGCGTGCATGTCTACAGACCTGCCATGGGCCGCGCCAGCAGCAGGGGCTTAGACCAGCTGCCACAGTTCATGATTGTCTTGACCATGTCCGTAGTTCATCTTGGTAATTAGCCCGCGGGTTCTTTTCGCCCCTCTGGGAGCTTGTCGAAGTCATCCCGACAGTTTCGACATCATCACCGAGCCCTAAGCCTTATCTATGGTACGGGGCGAGTGCTGACGAAGACCGGCGCAGCAATGGTGGAGAGTCGCATTGCGCCGTCGGCAATGCCACCCCCCCTGGTCTGGTTCAAGCCCTTCTCAAGATGGGCAAATGGCTCAACGCAGGCGCGGGCCAACAACGTCGCGGCGCTAAACTACAGCTGTTCTAGAAGACTTGTTAGAGGCCGCATTGGGGCGACCGCTGAGATTCCGCATCTCCGGCGGCTGCAGGACTGTGCCTTGCCTTTGGTCGACAACTCCGCGCCGGGCAAATCGAGCCCGAGAGATGGCCGCACAAGCAAAGGAGTAGTTTCCAAAACCACCAAAAAAAAAAGTCTCAAGTGCAACGTCAACGCCGAGGGTCCCATTAGTGGTTGTGTCCGGTGCATCCCAGTGATTGTTTGCGGATATTGAGATAAGAACAGAAAGAGAGCGGAAAGTCAAGCCGGGAATGAACATCTCTAGGGTACGTGGAATCTATACGTAAAAAGAGCTTCCTGGTTGGATACCTGTAGTTGTTGCGTTGCATAATAAAGCCGAACATGCGACGGGAGGTGGGAACGGAGGGTGTCTATAATGATGCGGCGCGACGACTGTGTATGTGTGTATTAATCAGACGAAATTGCTCGACCCGTTGCTGGTGACTTTGCGCATGTGCTGTCAGAATGTACGGAATCGACGGAGTACGCCAAATCAACCCGGCAGCAACGTCGACTAACCGCAGTTTCAGTCGCTCCGCGATTTCAAAAGCTTTCTCAAGTTGTATAAATCAGTAGGCTATAGTTAACAGAGGTGCCGCCCATCAACTGAATCATTCATTAACCGACAAAGTTCGGGAGCAGTGACAAGGACTGTTAGACGGCTGGAGTGAGGTGGGCATCAATGCGTTTTCGCCAAGCGCATAGCCGGATCTCCTTCTTAATGCGGAGGGTGGAGTAGTGATGGGCGGCGCCACGCCGCTGTCCACGGCCCCGGCGGGCGAGTGGAGGGTGTCTTTGACGGGTGAGGCCGATTGAAAAAGTCCTTGGCCGCGCGAGATTGATCGCGTTTGCAAAATTTCTTTGTTCAGAGGGCCTGGATTGCGTAGTGTTTGGGGGGTGGGGGGTCGACCAACAGGGTCATTCGACAAGGGGATCAGGAAGTGAAGCTACTATAAATCTCAACTTCAACCAACAGAACTGAAGATCAGTCAGTATAGAATCAGCGGGGAGGTGTGTCGTGCAGCTCCCGCAGATGTTCTAGCAAACTTCGGCAACTCGAACTCGTGGATTTTAAGCTACAAGGGTTTCGCAGCGGTCGGCTGTGTAAGTCATATCGGTCGTGCTGCAAACTGCGTGTATTAGCTCATGGCCACGTATTTTTACTTAATTATAAGAGAAGGCTTCGATTCGTACAAATCGAGAAACTGGGCCAATGTCAACTTTCAATGGCTGGAGCCGCATGCTTTGAACTATAGATCAGTCGGAAGAAGATGCTATTTTCAAAATGAAAACATCCCGAACGTGTTGATATATGCGGCCGCTGGCGGATAAAGTGTAATGAAATCATGTAGATATGGCTCGGTCTCGTTGTCCTAGGGTCTGCATCGGATGGCATATGATGGATGCAAGGCTTTACCAAAGAGTCTGGCATATTGACGCTTCAACTTGCACGGTATATTGCGCGCATTAGAAACCGGCATGAATAGCGAGCTGGCCACGTTTACATGCGTCTAGTAATACCTGACAATAGCCAAGCTTCTGTGTCGGAGTGAGAGGACGATGCGGCTGTTTATAGCAGCGATAGGTTAGGATATATTGCCGACGCTTCTAATTACAACAAGACAGACCCGTAACTAGGGATTAGGATCTGTCAAGGGTAATTTCTGGTGCAGCCGGCGCAATGGAGACTGTTAGTATAGACTACGCTGCTACCGACGAGGGAGCAGTTCCGCGGTGTACCGGAACAGTGCCCGTTGTGTCGTAGCTGTTCCACATGGTTCATGCGATGCGCGGAGGGACGTAATACACAATGAGAGGCCAGAAATGGTTGTTATGGTATTGCATGGCGTCCACTTTGATAGTTATCGCCGTCGCTCTGGTTTTGTCGTCCTTGCTGGTACAAGAGAGTCGGGAAGAAGTGGCGTAGAAGACTAGCTGATGTTGTTTGCTTTGGTTGCTTTGGCCTCTTTGGTTGCTTTTGTTGCTTTGGGGTTCCTTTGCTTGGGACGGAAAACAGGTAAAGTAGGGATGGATGAGGGGTTGAAGTACCTGGGCAATAGTTGTCCATCAATATCGATATGTACATAGATGGATGGATGCCTTGAGTAACCTGAGGCAGCTTGGTGGAGATGGGCTGAGAGATGGGCAATACAAGGCGTTGTTTGTTGGCTTTGGGACGACGTTTGTCGGTTAACACGAGCGAGCTTTGCTGCTTATCGTAGTTAGACCGTATTTCTCAACTAGAGGGACGATGAGGTTATTGTTCACAAGGCAAGCTGCTGGGAGGAAGAGAAAGGAGGCACGGAGGAAGCGCTCGCTGGGATGATAAAGGGCTGCGGTGATTTTGCGACAGCCGTTTGGGTTTTATTAGCACAACTTGGGGTGAGCGCAACATGGCGCCCGGCTTCCTGGGGCGAGTCGCAGACAAAGAAGGCGAAGACTTGGATTGGAGAGAGAGGAAAAATCGAGTGACGGGAAGAAGCATGACTTGATGGAGATCGTGTTTGCTGCCTTATTGTGCTGTCAAGATGTGAAGAAAAAGGAAGTACAAAGGGCAGAGGGGTCCGTTCGCGTGGGTGGTGGAGGAGGCCCGTCCACAGGCTGGGGCCAGCCATCATGGGCCATCCTAGATTCCCGGCTAATTTTTAGCGGAGGCGAGCCAAGCAGGCGCAGGAGGAGGAGGCCAAGCCGCTAATGGTAACATGGGCTTGCCAGCTGGCGCAGAAAAAACTAGTTAGTAGACCTACGTACTCCGTACTTGAAGGGGATTGAGATTTGTCAAGAAGGGGAGGGGGAATGGACGGCAATTCAGCCAGTTCTTACATGCGGCGGACAGAATCAAAGAAGCAAATTGAAATGGCTGATTTATATGGCGCCTTAGTTGCGTCTTTGTACCTGCTTAATGACCGGGCTAGTGAGGTGTATGTATGTCATCACAGCAGATTCCAGTATTGCCAGCAGCAAACGGACAACATCGGGCCGCTCCAATTAATCCCCCATCTCATTGTACGGAGACTTGCCTCATCTATGTCTTTCAATATTCTCCTCTCTGCCCCTCCTTTCTACCTTTCCACACTTCTCCATCGCTCTTCACTTACCAGTCAGTAGTGCCTTGCTTCTTCCGATCCGCGGTGACCCTCTCTCTCCCTCGACCCTCAACCTTCCTTCCCTCCCGCTTCATGCACCCACCACACTACAACACCACCCACCTCTACCACCGAATCCACCGAATCGCTGGACCCGACCGAACCCTTGCAACCTTCCAGCTGCCACCTATTTTAGCTTCTGCCACAATTCAAACCATTGCATCTTGGCCGCGTCTGCCGACAAGGGTCCAACGGTCGGTCCAAACTAAGACAAGGGCGCAAAACGACAGCCGCATCTGAGCTTTCTCGCCCAGAAACGCCTCCAAAGCTTTTTTGCTCTTAATGCCGCCCACGCCCTCGTCGATCCCCCCGTCCTCGTCCATTCCATTCACATCCCAATCCATTCATCGCTGGGCGACTGCAGGAACCTGATTTACACTTGTCTCTTTACAGAGCTTCCGCCCAGCTCAACCTATTCCCCCCTTCCAAGACAATTTGCTCCCGCCCCAATTGTTTTCGAGCTCATGATTTGATACCCTAATACCTCTACCTCCCCTCTGTCTGTACTCCCCTCGACCAGCAACAAACCAGCCTTCTCCAGCGACATCATGTCGTCCGTCCCCGATCCCGAAAAGGCGCCTGCCGCTACCGCTACCGCCCGCGCCAACTCGTCCTCCGGCGGCTCAGAGAAACCAGACACCGTCCCGCGCCCGCAGTCTGCGGGCTCCGACGTTGACAAGGCCTGGCGCTTCCTCCAGAGCGTAGGGCCCATCAACGAGAATGAAGTCGACAGCGTCAACCTCCCCGCCCTTCGCCGCAAGGTCGACTGGCGCATCGTTCCCCTAATGTTCTGCTGCTACACGCTCCAGTTCCTCGACAAGGTCATCTACAACTATGCCGCCGTCATGGGCATGCCCAAGGACCTCGGCTTCACAGGCAATGACTTCTCCAACATTGCCACCTACCTCTTTGTCGGTCTACTCTGCTTCGAGATCCCCAACATCTACTTCCTGCAAATCTTCCCCTGCGCCAAATGGCTAGGCCTCAATGTCACCCTCTGGGGTATTGCCACAGCCTGTGGTGCTGCTGCTCACAACGCCCAGACGCTCCTCGTCTCCCGTGTTTTTCTGGGGATCTTTGAGGCCACCATTGGCCCCTCCCTGATGCTCATCAGCAGCCAATGGTACACAAAGTCGGAGCAGGCTCCTCGCTTCTCGTTCTGGTATCTTGGTCTTGGTCTTGGTCAAATCCTAGGCGGTGCCATCTCATATGGTTTCCAGCACATTGGCCCTGATGCCGCCCTGTCTGGATGGAGAACGATGTTTGTGACGCTCGGTTGCATCACCGTTGCCATCGGTCTCTGCGTCCTCTTCTTCCTGCCCGATACCCCTATGCAGGCCGGCTGGCTGTCCAACGTGGAGAAGCTCGCTCTTCTTAAGCACGTCTCCGTCAACCAGACTGGCATCTCCTCCAAGAAGTTCCGCTTTAAGGAGATTCTTGAGGGCCTACTTGACCTTCAACTCTGGCTTCTACTCCTGGCCGTCGTATTGCTGTCAGTTTCTAGTGGCGTCGTGACCACCTACTCCGCGACTCTAATTCGCAACCTCAAGTATTCGCCGAAGCAGGCTGCCCTAATGAACATGCCCTCAGGTGCTGTCAGTATCTTCTTCACTCTCATGGTTGGCTTTGGCATCCGTCACGGCTCCCACCGCTGGGCTTGGATCATTGCGTGCATTATTCCCGCCATCATTGGTGGTGCGCTCATGTCTTTCCTGCCTACAAGCAACCGCGCCGGCATTCTGGCCGGTATCTACCTGGTCAATGCTGTCGTCGCCCCGTTGGCTGTCTTTTACAACTGGACTGTCGTTAACGTGGCCGGTGCCACAAAGCGCGCCTTTGCCTGTGCTATCATCGCCGGCTCCTTTTCGCTGGGTAACATCATTGGACCCCAGACCTTCCAGGCTCGCGATGCTCCCGACTTCCGCCCAGCCAAGCTTGCCGTCATGGGCACCCAGGCTGGTTGCGCGTTTATCACCTTCGTCCTCTTCCTATACTACGTCTTCATGAACCGTCGCCGTGCCGACAAGAGCAAGCAGAATGAAGAGGCGTACCAGTCGCCGGAGGTGTGGGCCAACATGACTGATAAGGAGAACCCTCGCTTTGTCTACACGTATTAAGCTGACAGAGGCGCGTTTGTGCTGCGGCGCGCCATGTACAAACTACGTTGTCTTTGCAAGGAGGATCTTTGTCTTTTTTTTCCTGCCTCAGACTTTGATCACAATGGTCTGATGGATGTGTATGGAGCTATTTACAACGGCATTGTTGTGCATTTATTGCCAAACAAGTTATGATATCCTTGGGTGATTTACGCAAGTACATTTTTTCTTTGCATACACGCTGTATAATTTTACAGTATTCAGTGTGGGAAGCGCTGGATGGGAGGGGATTCTCGTGATTTCTATTCACCGTGGCAGCTGCGTCGGATCAAAGAACAGTGTATATACCTTGATTCCAAAGACCTGTCAAGAAGCTACGCCCTTGTTTTTAGCAAATGTGTATATATTTAAAACCAGCTGAATCTCGGACTGCACATCATCTCCTGCCCCCTTTCTAACCAGTTCTATTGGCTCCGTTACACCAACCGGTCTTCCTTCTTATCTGGGTTGTTTTCCACGAGACCTTCTCGCCACCGGCATGGCTCTTTAACAAACAACCACCTTGTTATTGTGTTCTACCACTGGACAGGAGAAGTGGTCGCTGCAATAGAGATATGACTTGCATGAGGTTAACTGTCTCTGGGGATGGGTGGTCAGGTGGTCGGCACTTGCGATGCAGGGCGTCCCGCCAAGCTGGTTGACCAATAGCGGCAGTTGAGACTATCTACCTGCAACATCTCTTTCCAATGAAGGGAGGGAAAATCACATCAAGTTTGTTGGGTTGGAGAGACGCGTATGCACATGCTTCGTGGAGATGACAAGGTAGTATTCATAAAAATGTATTCATGGCAGTAGGCCATTCATTCTATCTTGCACTGATGGTGTAAATGAAAGAAATTAAAAACGCCAGAGTTCCCATCCTTTTCCAGACAGTTCATAGGAAATGGTTCGACAAAGGAAAAAGCTAAAGAAAAATCCTCAAAGCCTCATCAAATCTGTTCTGTTGTTCAAGCCGTCACGGCATATGCAGAGTGAGTGTGTGTGCGCAAACACAAATGACAGGACCTGTCGGCACCTAGATGGCAGGGCCGGCCTTGATGACCTCGGCGGTGGCCTCGCTCTCGTACTTCTTGAAGTTCTCGTTGAAGAGGCCGCCAAGCTTCTTGACCTCGGCCTCAAAGCTCTCGGCGCCGGCAGTCCAGGCCTTCTTGGGGTTGAGCATGTCGTCGGGGACGTTGGGGCAGGTGGTGGGGACCTGCAGGTTGAAGATGTCGTAGTTCTCGTACTGGACGTTGGCGAGCTCGCCGCTGTGGATAGCGTCGAGGATGGCACGGGTGTACTTGAGGGGGCAGCGCTTGCCACCCTGGGAGAAACCGGCACCGACCCAACCGGTGTTGAGAAGCCAGGCGTTGGCATTGTTGGCCTCAATGCGGTCAGCCAACATCTTGGCGTAGCGCATGGGGTGGAGGGCCAGGAAGGGCTGGGCGAAGCAGGAGGAGAAGGTAGCCTGGGGCTCGGTGACACCGTCCTCGGTACCGGCCATCTTGGAGGTATAGCCAGAGATGAAGTGGAACATGGTTTGGTTGCGGTCGAGCTTGGAGATGGGAGGCAGGACACCACGGGCATCGCAGGTGAGGAGGATAATGTTGGTGGGCATGTTGTTGGAGAGGCAAGGAATCTTGGCGTTGGCGATGTACTCGATGGGGTAGGCGCAGCGGGTGTTCTCGGTGAGGGTGCTGTCATCGTAGTCGACGGCACGGGTGCTGGGGTCGAAGACGACGTTCTCGAGGACGGAGCCGTAGCGGATGGCGCCATAGATATCGGGCTCCTTCTCGGCAGAGAGACCGATGCACTTGGCGTAGCAACCACCCTCAATGTTGAAAACACCGTTGTCACTCCAGCAGTGCTCGTCGTCACCGATCAGGGCACGGTTGGGGTCGGCAGACAGGGTGGTCTTGCCGGTACCGGAGAGACCGAAGAAGAGGGTGACATCGCCGTTCTTGCCCTCGTTGGCGGAGGAGTGCAGGGTGAGGACGTTGTGCTTGATGGGCATTTCGTAGAAGAGGACGGTGAAGACTCCCTTCTTCATCTCGCCAGCGTACTCAGTGCCGAGGATGACCATCTCCTTGGCAGCAAAGTTGATGGCGACCGAGGTGGCGGAGGTCATGCCCTCAGTGTAACGGTTGGCGGGGAAAGTACCAGCGTTGTAGATTGTGTAGTCGGGGTGGAAGCCCTCGAGCTCCTCACGAGGAGGGCGGATCAACATGTTGCGCATGAAGAGAGCATGGTAGGCACGGGCGCAGATAACGCGGACCTTGATGCGGTACTTCTCATCCCAGCCGGCGTAGCCATCGATGACGTAGATGCGGTTGCGGGTGTTGAGGTAGTCGACGGCACGTTCGCGGTTGATCTTCCAGACCTGTGCATGTTGTTAGCGGCTGGCGATGGTGAGGCATACAAGAAAGCGCAAGAATTATGCTGTGCATCTCGAGCCGCAGTTCCCAATTGGGCAATTGTGAGCTTGGGTAATGAGCACTTGCTCATTGGCCCAAAAATGGTGGTGGGGCCTGCAGAGAAGCAGCCGGGACGAGTCGGAAGAGCAGCGGCCACGAGGACACGCCGTGCTCCGCTTATACTCGGCTGTTTCGGTTCTGCGGGGCACAGTGACGAGAGCGGACATCAACGCAGCAAGCCCCAGACCATGCCAGAAAGAAAAGGGAGAGAGCCGAGGGGCCACCAGAGCTGCACAAGGGGAAAATCCAGACCATCACATGCAGCATCTTATGCGGGGTTGCATCATAGCCGGCGCCATGCACTGACTTGGGGGAAAATCCCAAAGCAAGGCAATCAATCAAACATGTGTCGCGTGTCGTGCTGCGTCCGACAACGAACGCAGCTCGGCAGTGGACAGTGGACGAGGAATAAAATACAAACAATCGGTGAAGGAAAAAAAAAACCTACCTCAGGAGTCATGGGCTTGTTGACGGGTCCCCACCAAATGTCGTCTTTTGAGGAGTCCTCCTGGACAATTCGCTTGTCGAGGGGAGAGCGGCCAGTCTTGGCGCCGGAGTAGGCAGTCAGAGCACCGGAGTCGGTGATGGCGGAGCCGGTCTCGTAAACCTTGAGTCACTTGTTAGGCCTGTGTGCGTCACACAAAGATGGGCATACGATGTGGCAGCGGCGCGGCGACCTGCGCCCGCGCCCGCGCCTACACCGGCATCGCAGTCTTGTGTTACGTACCAGGGCATCTTCGTAGAGAGCGGCAACGGAAGGGTTGGGGATCTGTGGGCGGTGAACGTTAGTGGTTGAAGCTTGCCAAGGTGATCAACAGTGGTTTTGATTGCGACTTACAATGGCGACGTGGTCATAGTCAATGTGAGCGGTCTCGTGAAGCTCCTCCTCAAGCTCGGTGTGTTCGCGGTGAGGCCTGTGTTCATCATGTTAGTCAAGGCAGCCCGGGGACGGATGAGAAAGCAGAGGGCGACAAGACGTACTGAACACCACCGGGGTGGAGGGAAGTCTTGTTGACACTGTTGGAAATCACTGGAGGGGTATGTTAGCAGGCAGGCAGGGCGACAGGCGGCGAGGAGGCCATAGACAGGAGACATTGGACATTGTTCCATGTATAAGTGGCAACCAAGCAAAGACAAGGGAAGAAGAAGCAACATACTTCTGCGCAAATCCGGACGGCGAGCTTGAAGAACAGATCTAGGGCCTTTGACTGTAGGATCAGGATAGGGAGAAGCGGTTCTGAGGATGGGGTCCATGGCTATTAAAGTAGTTTCGGGAACGGGCCTCCACAAGGCTTTTTTTCACAGTTCTGTTGTCGTGACGGAAGAATTGGTTGGATCTTCAGCTGCTTGGGATTCTTGAGCCGGGGCAACTCAGCGGGGAGGGGTGAAAGGTTGAAAGTGGATAATGGAAATGGCAGAGTGGAAAATGTGGGAATAGTTATGGGGGGGGGCGTGTGCAGGAGGAAAATCAGGTTGAAACGGTAGAGGTACGGGTATGTAGATGTGGTGGTGGTTGGTGTCTTGTCGCCAAGGGGAGAGAGAGAGGAGGAGGAGGGGCAAGGCAAGGCAGCAAGTAGAAGGAGGGGGAGAAGAGGCGGTTCCGGGACGTATTCGAGGAGGAGCAGCGAATTCAGAGCAGCGCTCCACAGAGTGGAATCGGCCGGGAGATTTGGCTGGGGAGGGAGGGAATGGTTGGTTGGCCTGGATTGACGATGAGGGGTGTGTGCTTTCGAGTTCAAAGCAAGTCGTGCGTTGGGAGATGCCAGGCTGCGAGTAGCTAGTGTCAACCCAAGGTTTTGTTTGCAACTATTGCGTAAAAAGAGGAGGCGTGTGTGTGCCTTGACCTGACAGGCTTTGGCAAGGGGTGGAAGAAGCCGGGACAAACTCTGGGTGAGAGGCGAAAAAGTAGAAATTGGCTGCAGGGTCTCAGGAGCGGGATTTTGAAAGATTTCAAGTTGGCAGTCGAGACGGAGGAGAGCGAGTAATCGGACGGTGCAAAAACCAGCAATGAATTAAAATTGCAAGTTGGCGAAAACAGACACTGAGAGGAGCAACGTGATGCTTTTCTTGCGGTGGCGGGCGGTTCAGAGTCGTGTAAATGCTAACCGAGACGGACCACTGAAGCACAGGGAAGGAGAGGCCTGAGTTTAGCGGGATGGATGGGGCGAGAAAAAAAAGATGGAGTGGGTGGTCTGGAGACCAGAAGAGGGGGGTCCGGTTTGGGTAGTGGCGGGCGCCAAAGAAAGGACGGATAAATAAAATAAAACAATAAAATAAAATGCGTGACGATGGACCAAGGCGTTTGGTCGGGGGCCACGATATTATTTCGGAAGAAAACGGTGCCTTTGGAGAGAGAGGGAGAGGGAGAGGGAGGGAGGGCAGACTTGACGGAGACGGACGTGTACAGGGGAGTACAGTTCAGTTCAGGCAGTATTGAAATGTCGAGGCTCGTTTTCAGGCTGGTGTGGCGTTGAGCAGCTGTCTTGATCGAATCAGGCTGTAGCACTAAACAGTCGGCTGAAAAAAAAAAAGATGTTGTGTGTCAAAATACTAGGTCGATATAATGAAAGGACAAGTCGTCAAAGAGGTCGTCTCGATCGATCGCTGCAGTGGCTGTGGTGGTGGTGGTGATGGTGGTGGTGGTGGTGGTTGTAGTAGTGGTGGTCGGATGGGATAACAAAGCGGGTAACAGCTGCAATGGCTACCGACGGAGTACGGGGAGGCAGTTACCAATTGGTAATTGGTAGTATCTGCGGAACGGATATAAATAGTCTGCTGTAACTGGCTGCCAAGAAGCAATAGCTGATACCAAATTATCAATGGATAATCTGCAGTGGCTGAAGGACAAGAATTGGTGTCGGGACTGGACTGATAGATGGACAGTACAGAATAGCAAAATCTCAAAGCACAAACAGATCGCGAAATGCTCGATATATATACACATTCTCAAAATCATCAGACGATTCATTTACACCGCAGAAACAAAGCTTGAAAACGAGCCATTCCGGGATTCTACGAGACATGTAGTAAGCCTGTAGTATTCAACCCGGTCCCGGCGCCTGTACCTGTTCCTGTTCCTGTTCCTGTTCCTGTTCCCTACTCTATCCGGAAAGAAGCGATTTGGAAGCCAGGCATAGCTGCTGCTGGCTGAGTCGCGAGAAACCACCCCGTGGCAGGGTACTAGCCTCGTTATAGGCTACCGTCGTCCCGGAGCCATGGCATGATGGATGGCATGGAGGGAGGGGCACCAGCACCAGCAGCCATGAGCCCATCCACCATGAGAGAGAGAACCTGACATTGTTGATTCAAGACGGCAAATCTCAATGCTGACTAGAGGACCCATCGCCTCCCGAACGCGGGGAAGCCAGCAATACCACCACTACACTCTACACAGTACTGACTGGTACACCACACTACACTTGGTGTCGACGGGGGACGGGCCGTCTTATTCTACCAGTCTGAATATCAAAACCGGGCTGGTGCCCTTTCTTCCCTTTGTCGTTGTCTACCCTTGCCCAGCGGCTGCATGGTATGGGAGGCCCATCCAGGTATTCGTTCCCGTTGCGACTGGGGCCGTGTAGCAAGTAATTGATTGCAACACACTTTTGCCAAGAGTGGCTTGTGCAGCATCAAATCGACATATGCACTGCGAGGATGTGACTCGCGAGAGAGGTAAAGTCCGAGCCGGAGACCGGTTGTTAAAGCGAGCTGGGCCGGGTAAAGGGAAAATTAAACCAACTAAAACTGACAGTTTTTCGTTTCACATCTATCCCCGTCGAATCATCACGAGGGGCGTAAAAGAGAAAAAGGGGGAATTACAAAGACAGGGCAAAAGGGCATGGATGGCTGGTATGGTTGTAATGCGTTCGGAAGGGGACGAAAACCAGGCAGCGCCTCGACCCGGGTCTGGATTGCTCTTTTCGTCAGATGACGGCGCCGGGGGGGGGGGGAGTAGGTTGGTAGGGATAGTAGGGGTGGCGGTTTCGGTCGTGCGACGGACGGCAAGCAGGACGAGAGACAAGTAGCAATAATAAAAGGTTGAAGAGGGAATATGTACCAGCCAGTATATATCAAGAAAAAGAGTAGGAGATTGCGAGTAAGCAGTGATATTGATGGTGGAAAATTTCCCCGGAATCCTGGTGACCATGTGGCAATAGGAAGCAGTCTAATACAAAGGTACATACATACATACGCTAATAATAGGCAGTTACTGGACGACGAGCGCCCAATTTCAACCCAAAAGCCCAATGAATGTAGGTAAATACACGCTACCCAGCAACATACCAGGGGAACCTTTTTATTTAAAATTTAAAATTTAAAAAGAAAAAAAAGAAAGTCAACGAAAATCAAGTCGAAATTGAGCAACGTGCATAAGTATATCGGAAAGATGAGGAATTTAAAAGACGATGCCAAACGGAAGAGGGTGTCGAGCAAATGGCACACATGCATGCATTCGTCCATCTATACATACATGCGTGCATCAAGGCTGTCGCTGTCCTGTCACTCAAAAGTCAAGACAAAGCACGACGAAAGCGTTGGCCAGCCACTCGGACAACCCACACTGCTTTGTCTTTTCCGCTGCCGGAAAAAATGGAAGCGAAAAAAAAAATACCAATCGACCACCTGACCGACGAAAATAAAATAAAACAGAACCAAAGAAAGCCTGGGGCCAGAAACTGGTGCCCAAGTAGCGCTCGCTCCGCTGGAGAGGAGCCCGGCGTGGGGTCTAAGCCACACTGCTATTCTCGGGGAGAGCGTTTGTTGTACATACGTTACGGGCTGTGTTATGGATGTTTCACGAGAGGCAAAATGCGAGAAAATTATCGTGTTAATAATAGCCAGCATGTAGGGAGCAATACGAAGGTTGCTATTGCCACTTGAATGGAAAATTATACGGACATTCCAGCAGGCTACATACCCGTATACTTGCTAGGCCTCTCTCTGCCTCGGCCACTTACAAGAGAGGGAAAGGGGGGGTTATAGGACCGTACCTTGGCAGCCCGGCCATGAACCAATAACCGCCTGGGAATAATGCCAACACGATGAAAATCCAGCGCTTCACGCAGCCCAGCTGGGGCTGGATGTCGCATGCTGTGCCTGCCTGTCTGCTTCCAGGACTGGACTGGCGCTCCCCGCAAAAGCCAAGAGTGCAAGCCCCAGGCCAGCCCGTCTGCACACGCCCCCCCCCCCCCCTTGCTGCGGCTCAATTGATCACCAGCCCGTTCCGAGTTTTCACGAACCAGGGCTAGACAAAGAGGCCAAGTCACAAATGATGGAATTCTTAGCGAATTGAGAAATCAAAGAGACGTACTAGTTATGAGTAGCGTGGCGTTGGTAGGATGCGACGACGGCACGGGCACCGCACCGTTGGCCAGCCGCGGCTTGCGCCGGCTCTCTGTGTACGTATGTACCTTGGTACCTGAGAACTTTACAAGACACCGAGTACGTACTGGTAGTGGTGATGGTGATGAGACAAGGGGATCGTACCTACGTATCGGCTTGACTCGTCTCGGCTCACGTTTGCCGTGATGCTACGTCCGTCCGTTGACCTGACCAGGACAAGAAGAGAAAACCAAATGGCCGTGACGTGTTGACGGAACAGGAGCCTGAGCGGGACTGGGCCAAAACCTTAGTTAGCAAAGGTGCTGGCAGTAATTCGTACTTGCGCGCGTCTGTTGATGCATGCAAGCACCCGGCCTCCGACTTTGCCCGGCGGCAACTTGAGAGTCCAAAAGTGTACGGCATCACCGCATGGTTAATCAAATAAATAAAATAAATACGATGAAATACTGAAATGATGTTTTGAATCAGAAAAAAACGGGGAGAGGGGGTGCATTTGCCCCTCCAAGCCTTTGCTTGGGTAAAGAAATACACGGCCTGGACTCAGCCTACAGCCTACAGTCTACAGCCTTTATACAGCCGCTTTTTTTCATCTCAACACGGGCATATCATTGGTATTTTTTCCTTCAGCCGGTACAACCGATATGCAAGCCCATCCACTCGTTTTTATACATACCGACCGCATTTTCAGTGCCAACAGATCAATGCCAAGACGTTCAATTCCCAGCTCCGTCGCAACAGAAAAAAGGCTCCCACCACTAACTACAATAGCTGTGTATGCACGTTGTGTATTAGCCTGGCTTCAACCTCACACATGACCGGGTCGGCTGTTAGACACGCGCGATTCTATTCCTGAATTCTTGTTCTCTCTTTTTATCGCTCACTTCATATCCAAGTGACGCGCCTTTTTCATGCAGCCTTCCATCCGGGTTATTAAGGCGACGAACCAACCACCCACCACAGCCAACCATAGTCATACATGAGGGAGGCACTTACACCGCTCTGCCGTGTCTGTGAAGCTGAAGCCCGCCACTTCCCTTGTAACATCTCACTCATTTTACCTACAATTAATTATTGCAACAAATGCACTCACCTGCAGCTACGGCAAACAAACCAAAAAACCAAAAAAAAAAAAAAAAAAATTGGCA